AATAAAATGTTCAATTTGCCATAGGTTTTCTGCGAGGTGTTCTTCAAGCTGTTCCATGAACTAGATATCTTCGGCTCTCTTTTTATTTTTTTGAGAGGTGAATGGCGGTGCTGCTTTTTAAATTTAAAGGAAGCAGCATCTTGACCAATCACAAGCTTGCACTCTCTGTCTCTATTGACAGATGTTTGTCCTTGCAAGCCTGTTGGCGAGCCCTTGCAATGATGGATAATGGTGTTGCGTGTCTCCGTACAGACGCAGATGGAGAAGTATGAAGCAGGCATAATGGGCTCGACACACGGGAGGCGACATCGCCTGTCCTCCATTCATTTTCAATGAGACATGCGCGACAAAGCGATAATCGGGGTCTCCCTTCTACCAAGCGAAACACAAAAAACGTGCATGTGAAATTTTGCGCTCGTGCACGTATCGTGCACAGGCGACCCAGCGACGCGATCCCAGAAATATTTTCAACTTTTCATCGCTGTTGCTCGGACGAGGACCAATCAACAGAGGTTTCATTCACTGACCAATGAGCGGACAGGATACTCCGTACACCTCCGAGCAAACATGGAGGAGAAGTTGATTATTATTATGTTTTATATAGTAATTATTATGTTTATGTAGTAAACTCAGAAGTAAGATTTCACATACCTCTAGCAGCACCTTGTGAAACATCATATCTACCGCTTTATTAACTCTGAACCGCTTAAATAACCTTAATTCCCTCCAACCTGACACAGCCGAGCAAAACAACGGAAGTTTCGATTTCGCCATGGAACAGAATGCGTAGATGGCTTTGCCGCTGGCCGCTGCCGCCGATCGCCTCCGTGTGACAGGTAATAAAAGCGACAGCGACAAATTTCGCTGATTGCGGTCGTTTGTCGCCTCCCGTGTGTCGAGCCCATAAGCTAGCCCACGGGGCACACATATGGAATGCTATTGTCTCAAAACAACTCCAAATGCGAACACATTTTTATAAACATTTATTTCACTGTTAGTTTCACCAGTTTGGAAGTCAGAACTTTGATTTAAGAACAATGTCTGAACTGACGTGCAGTAACTGTGTTCCAGTTCACAGTCAGAAAAGCAGTGGGGTTTGTTTAGCCTGGCCTGCTAGACTTGTCCTCTGTTTAATTCTGCACAGAGAAAGAGTCTGGTAACTCACAGGCAGAGGGCAGAGAGGCACATGAGGGGCGGGACTAGGCAGCTCAAAAATAACCAATCAGAAAAAAGAGGGAAATGCCGACTGTACCATGCAACGTTGTCGTTTTTTAGCTGTAGTCAAAAATGGCGTCTGGCAACGGAGCAAGAATCCTTTTTTTTTTTTTTTTTAGAAAAAATTATTTTAGCGCTTCTACTTTTTATGGTTTTAAAAACATTCAAGTCATTTAGAACAGAGGAAAGAGCTGCAGCGAACTCCACTTCAGTCGCCATGTTTATGAAAAACTCAGCGTTGTGGTGTGTGACGTACGCTGCTCAGCGCTGATTGGCTCGGTTAGAATTCTCACGGGGTGGGGATATTTGAATTGGAGAGTTCCCAGACCCTTTCTTTGAGCAGAATTAAACAGAAGAGGAGCCTGGCAGGCCAGGCTAGGGTTTGCTAGTTGTTTTGCTCAGTCTATGACCAGTCTAGCTAGCTACTGTTAGCGTTACAATCCAATCCCAATGTTTTTCTCTGCATTCAAAGTCTGCAGCCACGTATTCACTAGCAGCCATTGGGCCAGAGTATCTGTGGGACAGATTTACTTAGACACAAACCAACAGAAGGTAAATGATAAATGATAAATGACCCGCACAGGTAATTACTGGAGCTTTCATGCATGAGGCAGCCATATTGGATTTTGAGGTTGGGACTGATCAGGAATCTCCAGCTTCCTGTCTGGAATTTCCAACTTATGGAATGCACAATAAACAGTTTTTCTCTCTGCAAAAAATAGGATATTAGTTATTCACAACCTTCCCACAAAAGATCTGAATTGATGTCTTTAAAAATGAGCAGCAGTTGTGGAAAATTGCAGCCATGACACGATTACGGTTAAGATGCTCCTGTTGCTGCTCACAGCAAATAGATGATTATTCCTCATAGATTACAAAATTGGAGTGGAACATTCATTTAATGCCGGAGAAGATTTGTAATTTGGTGTAATGGCTGATACACACACCAACGGGCCTCCTGGTGATGGAAATCTGCCGGTGGTGCACAGAGATGCAGCTGCAGAAAGCACTTATGGGCTTGTAGGTTGGAAATGTCGTCTGGAGTCTGTGCATAAATATCTACACGCAACTGCGAGCACCAACTTTCTGTTGACAACATTAACTTGTTTTCTAAACGCTGATTGTTTCTGTAATCTCACTGTTTAAAGCTAAAGCCTTCAGTGTGGCTCCAACTGGACCAATTAGCACAAGAGGAAAGAAAGTAACGTTTCAGATGAAAGTGAGGCCTGGATCTTGACCTCATTCTGACCAAGTCGAGCAACTTTCCAACAATAAGTCACTTCCAAAGCTGTGAATTCTTCATTGCCACGATTGCCTCCATTTAGAGGCTTTTACAAAAGCTGTTTGTCTTCCAAAACATATCATTATTCTATATTTGCCCGAGCTTCCACAGAGAGCTTTGTTTGAGCAGCAGGCAGAAACCACAATCACCGGCTTTAAAATGTTTCACTTCACAACTTTATATGTTCTCTGGGGAAAAATGTTTTACAGTTTAGGAGGCGTGTGTTTATTCACACACTTGTCAAGATTTAGATGAAGAGAAAGAGTGAGAGCTGTTCCTCCTGAGACGGGTAACATAATCCAGCAAGCAGGAGCTCTAAAGCTCTCTAAGTAACATTCTTATGTCTTGCTTGTTTGGTTTGTTCAGAGTTTGAAGTGAAAAACGGTACTTTAACACTGGGTCAAAATGAGTTTTTGAAATTTTTGAAGCATCTTTTGGAATTGTATGCATCATCACTGCTTTAACATCCACTCCAAAGTCAACACAAATGACATGATGCTTGAATTAAATGATCCAACATTCCAAATCTGTGAGTGACATAAGGTAATTTAAGTTAGCAGGTGGAGATGGATGCTTTAATGAACAGAAATGGCTCACAAATAAGAAAAAATATAAAATATTAAAATAGTGAAAAACTCCTGCTAAGTTAACATTTTAGCTCACAAAAACATATAGAAAGTAACCCCTCCTTTCCACAGGAAAATGTAATAGTAGCGTTCTACCCGCAAGTTCATTCCCAGCTGCGAGTGTTTCAGACGTGAAACGTGAGGTGAAAGCGTTCCACACAGTTGATCCAGTGAGTTCACAAAACCACGAGAGAATTGCAACACCACACATTATTTCATAAGTCCACACATTAAAAGGCCAGGAGAAAGATGGCTGCAAGTCTCCAAAAAGGACTGCTTTATTTTCTGTTCTCAATTACAGGAAATGACATACTGCACGTGACTTTTATTTTGATAGTTTACGGATGTTTTACACTGATTTCACGTTTGACTTCCTGTCTGGCCAGATCTAAACTGCAAAATTGACGTGCGTGGTGCATAAAAAATAGACTCAAAACGTAATAATAGCATCACACTTGGCTACCAGTGGAAAGGAACCCGTTCACTATAATGGCAGCTCGTTGTATATTTTGTAGTTTCTCTGCTGTTTCGTGATGCTTTCACATCCAGTGGAAAGAAGGGGTAAGGGTTGGTGGCTGTAGTATCATGGTTTGGGCCTGATTAATCACAGTTGAGCCAGTGCATCTTGTTTTGATTGGAAAATGAATCAATTTGAAATTTTATTAAAGGATTTGAAGTTGAGTCTGTTAGAAGAAATTAGCCAGTATTTTGGAGTTTAATCTTCTAAATCTTTTGCTTACTGTAATATGCTTTATTGCATGTTATGGTCAAATCCAATAAAATGTTATCCTAAAAGCAAAATTTCACTGGCCTAGATTTCTGGGTTAATATTTTATTTTATGCATGTCCATGTGTGATGATGGGGGTGCACCATAATTAAAAATTTGTCTAATTAGTTTGAAAGCATTGCATTCAGTTTCTTACGTATGCACGTAAAAAACATCATAACAAATGTTTATGCACTTCTGGGTTGTGGAAAATAAAATGTTATTATTCATAATTAGTTATTTTATGTGTTTAGGCTTTTCTCTGAGGTTACTATAAAAGTGGCATCCAGATTTCCTGATCCTGACAAATTCTGTCTAACTGTTCCAACAAAATAAATAAATAAATAAATAAATAAAACCCCTTACATCAATTATTTTAAGTTGTTCTCCAAAAATGCAATAATTATTGTAGCTGAATGAAAAAGAAGATGAACATTTCACATACTGTGACATTGTCCAGTTGGTTTATTATGTGAAATAGCTGCAGGGGCTGAGTGTGTGTTCCCTCTCCTTTATCCACCTTTTACCTCTCCACCCTCCTTTTTTATCATCTCATCCATTCAAACAGATTCTCTCATTCACTTCAAAGTGTGAACTTCATCTCAGTGTCAAGAGAAACCCAACACCTGATCCAAGAGAACATCCCAGAGCTGATCCTGCCTGCACAACCCCAGAGGTGACACATCAACCTGTCACTCTGAATGAAACCGAGGCAGAGACAAAGCTTTCTGTTTGGTTGTTGGGTCTCAGGGAGCAGTGGGCTTCCTCTTGGGATCTGCTCCTCAGAGATACAATTAAATCAGTTTTTTTTCACAGAATTAAATATTTAAAAATCTTAAAACTAAATTATATCAATTTTAATGGTAATGAGCTTAAATTATGATCTTAAATTAAAAGCAATTGTTTGGTCTGCATCACTCAAAATGTATTTTTTTTCTTCTTTAAAGTAAATATGCAGAAACCTTCATGTTTGTTATTTACCATGAGGAGTGAAGGGTGGAGACTTCCTATCACTGGGTGGAGGGAAGGAGGGGGGGGGGGGGGGGGGGGCTAGGAGCAAAAGAAGAGGAGAGGGCACCTCAGAGCGCAGAAGTGTGTGTGCGCGCAGCCTGCAGCAGCAGCAGCACACTTTACAGATTGAATTAATCAAATACAATTATAAATACATTTTTAAGCAGATGTACTTCTGAAGGACACAAAGCTTCAGGTTGTTTCTATGAGGGAATCTCTCCATGTAATTCTTCCCACTTGCGCAACAGGTTCCGTCCAAATGAAACTCCGACCCATGTAGGAGGAAGAAGCATGTTGTCACCGTTCTGGTCCTCTGGAGTCGATCAGGAGATCAACTCATGGGATGTAGTGGATGCAGAGTCCGGCTCAACTTCGGGAAGGTGCTCTCCAAAGTCTCCGTGTTCCTTACCATGGTCCTGATCATCACCTACTTCTTCTACTGCCTCACGGGACTCTGTGACTCAGCTCCGAGGACTTTATACAGCCACTCAGCCCCGAGGGGGGACTATGAGCTTCTGGATGACCGCCGTAGAGTGGAGGACCTACGGCCGTCTGTGCGCTCTGACGCGCCGTCCCATCGGAACCGCACAGAGTCAGAAGACGCACAGCAGCAGGTGGATACGGAAGAACAGCCGTCCCAGAACAGAAACGGAATCCCGGTGTCCAACACTTTCGGGACTAAAAGGTTTCCTCAGGCGATCATAATCGGTGTGAAGAAAGGTGGAACCCGCGCTCTGCTGGAGTTCCTGCGCATCCACCCGGACGTGCGTGCGTTTGGCGCAGAGCCGCACTTCTTCGACCGGTTTTATGACAAAGGGCTGGAGTGGTACAGGTGGGCATGCACACACGAGGCCACGATTTATTAAAACCGGAGTATCGGTTTGTTGGCATATTGATAAAATCCATGAGACCGTTCAAACTTTTAACTTCTGTAAAATTATTGTGACCTTTCAGCCCAAACTGTATGACGTCATTGATCCTGTGAAGTAAACTAAGCTTTAAAGAGATGTTAAAAACTAGAGGTGCACCGATTCTGGTATTTGTGGCCGATATTAATACAGCTCTGAACCGGTGATACCAGCTATGATCATTTTAACATAAAAAATCTGACTAACTTAAAACTTCAGATCATAAAAGCGCACATGGTGAGGGTAGATGTGCAATGGCAGCATTGCTTTAGCTGCTTAGATCAAGATTATTACAGGTGCTTGAAATGCTTGAAAGTGCTTGAAGTGCAGTGGTATTGTTAAGGTTCTGAAAGGACTTGGATTTTTAACAAAGTGCTTGAAACTGTATTTACTTGAATTAGGATAAACACTGACAGAAAACGTCTGTTGGATTTACTCAATCATGTACATCGTCTGCATGGAATTAGAAGATGTTTGGATTTTGTAACTTCGTAATGCCAGCAAGATAAATACATATTTATCCCAACTGAGTTCTCATCAGTTTGACAGAACAATACCCCAGTGAGTCGTGGAGGATGGCTGCTTATACTGAGGATTCTCTGGAGGTTTCTTCCTGTTAAAAGGGAGTTTTCCTCTCCACTGTCGCTGCATGCTTGCTTGGTATGAGGATTGCTGTATAGTCACTGACACTAGTCAGTGACTTGATGCAATTTGCTGGGTTCCTTACATAGGAAACATTATTTCTGATTGGCTTAATGAACTGTGAATTGGAATGTTTATTATGTGAAGTGCCTTGAGACGACTCTTGTCGTGATTTGGCGCTATATAAATAAAATTGAATTGAATTGAATTGAATGTTATTAGAACATCAACATTTCACGAAATGATTCCATAGATCATGTTCTAATAATACATATTAAACACAGAAAACACAAAATACATACCACACATGCTCCTTGTAATTTGCATTAATCTAGTTGGAGATACTGCTGATTGCTTTTTGAATCTCTCTCAGTCATGGTTTTTGGTTTTGCTCACTGCCAGCTTAAGAAGTTTTTAGCACATGTATATTTCATTTATAATCAGTTAAATTTTGCAGAATATTAGCTGATTCTGATCTCATTAGGCCGTCACTATACGTCATTCCCACACATGGACATGCACAAAATGAAGCACGAAACCAATCAAAACTAACTTGATTAATATTAAGTCAGCTAAATTCATTACACAGCACGGCAGCGCTGGTAACTGACTCAGATTTCTTGTAAACAGATGTAGGGTTTGGTAAATTGAGTGCTTCAGGAGCTCAATATATATATTACCTCTACTTATGACCAATAAGCTGTGATACTCTATCTAAATATAGAATATCACCCTGCCTGGTCTTTATTGTGCTTTAATCAGAAGATTCTAGGATTCTTTATTTATTAGGGGATTGTACACACTTTGTTTTGATTCAGAAAATGGTCAGGTTCATAAAAGTAAGAATTTATTTTACCAGCAATTAAAACATGACAAATTAACTAAGCATTTACTGTGATGGATGGAACTAGATGCAATGTATGAAACCTATGTGTGAATGCAATGTTAGTCAGAACTTCCGTATCTAGGAGAGCTGCGTTCTGGATGTAAAACAATTTGGTTTGCGTTAAGCTATTGAGTTGATTATTATCAAAGCACATTCAGACGCAATCTGTCATGTCTACTTCACTCGTTTTCGGAGACCCTCTTGGTGGATCCGAAGGTCAGAGAGGTCGGATGACCTCTGGCACCGGAGGGCTGTAGAATACCGTGGCACCAACCCTTCAGTCCAGTAATGTCTCGGGTCACGACAGATGGATGGAACCGCACGTCTCTGGTGGACTCTTAAGGAGTCTAAACAATATCAGCTTGTTCTGCAGGAACTGTTTGCTTTATCAGCTTCGCAGGTGCAAAAAGGTTTTGACGACGTGTCAAAAGCTTTGGTGGTTAAAGAGGGGTTTGCTTCAGGTGGCCGGTCTGAAGCTTTTCTCTAGAACTCAGGAAAAACCAGAGTAATCTGGTTTAATTGTTCTCATGTTATGATTGTGTAGCCAACCAGAGGTTGACAAGTTTGAGGAATATTACCAAGAATCTCAGAAACACACCTTCTTTGACACCGGAGGCTCTGAACTGGGGTACAGGTTATTTATGTGTCATGGGTTTAACTTTACCTTACTTTGTTCTTGTGTGAGTGCAAATGATTATGACCTGGTCAAGTAAACATGCAATCAATCATTGAACACAGATTAATGAAAGCATTTCATTATATTAATTATCATAAGTAGCAATAAACAAACATTTATTTAATGATTATCTAGCTTATAAGTTTTAGAGGTTCATATTTAATTTTAAATTTTCTTTCTTCTTTCTTCTGTGAAGCAAGGAGTCTTAGATAAAAGGGTGCTCTGTGAGGGACCTTGGAAGGAGAGAATGTTATTGTTGACATTTCATTATCTATGTCAGAGTTGCAGGCTCTGAGCTCCAGCTGGTGTGATGGAGGCAGGCTGATTTAGAGGGGACACATACAGTCTCGTGTCTCCTTTTTGACCAGATGTTGGATGGTCAAACAGTACCTAAAAACTGACCATTGCTGGACGTTACACAGAATTATTACATGAACTGTCAAAATTTATCCAAAGATCTTAAACTTTACGCGCAGTAAGGAAACCTTCTTACCATATACTATGAAATAGATAAGCATGCGAAAAAGCCAACAAAACAAATAAGATATCAGCTCAGCAGTTCAAGAGTCTTGAGTTGTTCTCCAAATAAATTTAAAACTAATCAGATATTATTGCTATAATTTCTGCTTTAAACAGTTGTTTTTCTTGGGTTTGGGCTTTTTAGTGATATTATTTTCAGTTTGTGATCGATCTTCATGGTTGACACTTAATTATGTGAGTCATCTACAGTAAGTTAGTCAGACCATCACTATAACAGAAGGCTTTATTCTAGAGAAGAAGCCCTCATATTCCCGCCTTTGTAGGTTTGCTGACGTTTCCTGTCAATAAACAAGACAGCCATAACATTGGGAGGCTGATCATATTTTGCTTGTGTGCTGTTCTGCAGATCAAAGGGCCCCTGAGGAGCTGTTCATCATCCTGACATTCATTTATAAACCATTAACAACCCTCAGCTCCACATGTCACCCTGTATTAGCTGCTTTATTCTGCTCTGAATGTGTTCTGCAGCAGATTACTCTAGCCAAACAGATAAACCTTCACCGTTAGCATGATTAGTATTTAGATGAGCTTCTGTTGATGTCAGGCTGACCCAGCTGTTATCATTTCTATTTGACTGATGAACTTAAAGGAGGGTTTGAGTCTCAATAAAGCTGCAGTTGATCATCTCCAGATGTTCTACAAGCTCCTAAACAAGGTCCCAACTGAGTTCTCATCAGTTTGACAGAACAATACTGTTCTGGGACCTCTGAGCTACAGAGGTGCCAGGAGGAGTCTGAGAGGTTTGACAGATTGAGGAGCACTGATAAACAAGGACTTCACAGACTTCTACGATGTAATTTCATCCTCTCGCGCCGTTTTCTGTAACCCTCCTCACCGTGATTTAACAGGGACCATACGGCCACATGGAAGCACTTTCACCACGGATGGTTTAGCCATGCTGCTGAAGTTTTCTTCTTCTCCCTGTGCACACACACACACACACACACACACACACACACACACACACACACACACACACACACACACACACACACACACACACACACACACACACATACACACGCACACACACACACACGCACACACACACACGCACGCACACACACACACACACACACACACACACACACAAACAGGCATGCACACACACACAGACACACACATACACAACCAGGCATGCACGTACACACACACACACACACACACACACACAAACAGGCATGCACGTAGACACACACACACATACACACACACACACACACACACACACACACACACACACACACACACAAACAGGCATGCACGTAGACACACACACACACACACACACACACACACACACACACACACACACACACACACACACAAACAGGCATGCACACACACACACAAACACACACACACACACACACACACACACACACACACACACACACACACACACACACACACCCATTTGCAGGCCTGCCCTCACACACACACACACACACACACACACACACACACACACACACACACACACACACACACACACACACACACACACACACACACACACACACACACACACACACACACACACTTTGGGACTCCTCTCTACATGCTACTCATTTACACTTCTGTTTCTCATTATCACATTTGTACCACTTTCTTCACGTTTCAGTATTTGAGCCGTCTTTCTCTCCACCTTACGTTCCCCTATCAGGTCTCCTCTTCATGTCTGGTGCTTGTGTGGAAATACCTGTGGCTAATCTGGTTCTCCTGGGCATGTTTTATGTGTTTAAATTAGCCTGGCTTCTGCTGTAAAGCTGTTACTTGAAGTTTTTTCAGCACCAACACTAGCAAGGCCTGAAGGTCAGCCGTGTGCGTAACAGTGATGAACCGTAAAACCATGACAGGAAAAACGCATCAACTAGAAAACTATTTAAAACTGTCAATTTCATGTAAAGTTGCCATAAATAAATTCATTGGTGAAAACAGTCATTTGTACATTTTTTGTTTGTAAAAAACATAATTGTACTGTAAAACATTCTTGCATCATTTTTAAACAGAACATTTCCTTAAGGTTTATAACAGTTAAAGACAAAGATTTTTACATTTATTTATTGAAAAAAATGCAGCTTTTAGGTAATTGCTGGTAATGGTGTAAGGAGTTTACTTCCTGTTTCCCAGTGTGCTTTGCGGCATTAGGTGAGGTCTGGCTGAACCGTTAGTCAGAG